TTTTGCAGGAGGCTGGAATGCATTCAAGAAGAATTCAGGTTTATTAATGAATGAAGATCAAGATAAACTCCAATTTGGCGAAGGTGATATTGTGCTGTCCCCCTCCAAAGCCTCCGCCAGCACTTACAATAGCAGCAGCTTATCAGCCCAAACATTTGGTGGTCTGGATGCCCAGTCAATTGCATTCTTCAGAGGACCTTGAGGAGATGAAAGCAACACTACATAAAACTTTATTGTTTGTTGATACAAATCCTAACAAGAAGACTAAAATATATCAAATTATAACTGTTTCTATGGTCAGTTGTACTTTAAACTTCGAAATCAAAATTACAGTTACACATCCAACAAACCGTCTATGTCAGGGAATATAATATGAAACATAATAGTTGAAGAAATGATACTTAACTATTTGAAGTATGCATTTACAAGCTGTATACAGTCATTTTTTTCATCTAAAGTCAACAAGTACCAGAAAATTGACTAAAGCATCATAATCTTTTCAAATTTCCCATTAAGCACTACCTAAAATTGAATATATCTCTAAGTACAACACTAGATGTGTAAGCACACCATCTTAATAGAGTATCAAGTTCGAAAAATCAATAACAAGAGCACAGTAAATCATTTCTTGACAAAGATTCACACATCCAGCTTTCTGTCTTACTAAACAATCTGAATTAAACATCAGTTCGTAGCACATTCCTCATATTTTCAATATCATGAACAAAGCCAAAGAAAACAATATCTTGTTTCATCATTTCCAAATTTAATATATAACAAGTAGTTGCCAATGGCAGAAATAATATCAGACACCAATAGCTCAGCTTAATAATACATTTTCCCCATCAATAATTCAATACCCTAGGAACAATCCCCCTTCCAGCTGTTGAACTTAGTATGGTACACACAAGTTAATGGTAATGAACACTAATTTGGGAAATGATATTTGAATCAAGTAATTGATTAAGAATTCTAGTTTCAGAATTCACTGGTTAGTTATAAAAGCCAAGGTTTTTAAACTTTTAAGGAACATGTTTACTTATTTCTACTAATAAAAGCTGATATACTATAGCTTTACTTACTAAAACTCTACTATTTATCCGAGGATAAGAATACCAATCACAACAAATGCTTAAGTATTTTTGTACATATGGTTCATGTTTAAAATACTATCCATTGTGAATTAGGTGTTGTATATAATATTTAAGTTCATACATCCTTAGATTACATAGATATAATCCAAGTCATGCAAATTAGTTTTATGAGTGTATCATGTGGGACTACAAATTAAAGTTACTCAACTCATAAGCCAACCATTGAGTTATAATCATTACCAAGACAACACCTCCAATTAAAGGTCAATGGTATCCTCGTGACTTTCCTCACAATTTACTATTACAGATTAAGAAATACAAGTCATCCATACATGTGAAGACCCCAAATATCACGCACAAGGCCCCATCAAATGATGCAAGAACCCAACTCAGGATATGGTCCTAATGGCACAAATTTGATACCTTGCCCACTCCCTGCAACTTCCAACTAGAACCCACAATGTGTCTTTAATAAAAGAAGATATTATGCCCTCCACTCCTACTTTCTTGTTTAATCTTTGTTCCTCCTCGTGATACTTTAAAAGAATAACTTCCTTATAGGAAACTTCCATCCACTTACTATTAGTTTCAAACTCCGTAAAAAGAAAGCTCTCATAAATTTCTGAAAACAAACCAAATCTCTCTTAAATTTGTCAGAGCTCCCGTTTTAAGTTTTATAAATTTGCATAAAGCTGGTCTCTATAAGTCACGAACTCTCTTAGGAATTTAAACAAAACATCATAAACTAAATGAACTTTTCCTTACATTAAAAAAAAAAAAAAAAAAAAAATTCCCATTTCACAGCAGACAAAATCATTGCAAAAAAAAAAAAATAATAATAAAAGGCGAGGGGTTCAAGAGAGTACCAGAAACGAGTAATTATACTCAGGAGAAGCAAAGAGATAACATCAGCCTGAAGATCTTTTGACGAACGCTTCAACAACGGGGGATAAGTTCCATTAACTTCGAGATCAGTATTGGCATTGGCAATGGCGCAATGTCGACGTACTCTATCTCCATGCCCTTCACGGAGTCCTTCACCAATTGCATAGCTTTAATTTAGAATCATGATTTGTCAGAAGAAACTCAACATAACAACAGAACGTTATAGGATACGGGGAGAGAGAGAGAGGAGGAGAGCCAGAGCGAATGGCCGCGGTTGGAGGCTTTACGAAGAGACCCACAAGAGCCGCCACTTTTATCATGGTGTGTGTGCTACCATGCTCCATTCTCCTTTTCTCACGTCTGCTGCTTCGGATTATGGTGGCTGTTACAGAATTGGTTAATGTCGTTTCATATTTTCAGTTTTTGCGAGATGACAAGAAGGAAATACATATTCCCTGTCCCGCTTAAGAACATACGCCTTTGTTTTGAAAGGGTGACCTCAAAATTGAAAAACTAACAATTATCCTGCCAAATCCAGAAAATTCCAGGTACCCCCTTGCTGTAAGCTTCTGTGGTTAAAATTGGATGGAGGACTAGAGTTGACCCCTAAAACCAAAATACCTTGATTTTATTTAAAATTTTACATTTTCTTTTTAAAAAATAAATGAAAAAAAAACAAAAACAAAAAAAAACTCTTAGAAAATATATTTTAAATATATAATTATTTATGAAAATGTATTTATATATTTTTAAGTTTTTAGATAATTTTTTAACTGTTTTAATTTTCTTTTAAATGTTAAATTGTTTTATTATTATGATTTATTTTAATATAGAATTTAAAAGTAACATTTTTTCCAATATTTTGTATATTTTAGTTTATATAGAAAAAGTTAAAAAGAAATAAAAATTTCGGTTTTACCACTTCTTAGCATTTTAACGGCTGAAAATTAATTGTAATTTGTAAGGGATGTAAGTGAATATTTCTAAAGTTGATGAGGGTAACTGGATTTTCAAATTGTAAAGAAGGCAAAGTACCCTTGAAATATACCCTTTTGAGAATTAAATAGTTATGAAGTTCTTTACCGTTAGTCTTTAGTGTATCTTAATTTAAAAAAAAAAGTATATAACACACACATTACAGAACACATAAGACTAACCCTAGACATAGTTATTGATGGTCATTAGCATTAATTTAACAAGAACAATATTATTGCATAATCCTATAATTCTTTGTAGTGGTGACTCATCCACAATACCATAGTTGAAATTCAAATTTTTATATAAACATTATGTGTTTGAAATTGGTGGTGATGTTAATTCTTAACTAGTGATGGTGTCTTAAAATTGGTATTTTTCTTTGATTGGCTTCATTTACAATGATTTATGTCTAGTCAAAGTTGTGGCAAAAACCCTTTTTTTTTTGTGGTAACATTAAGTTTCTTTGAACAGTGGGAGTCGATGAATATTTTCCAAATTTAAGGGGGTTCACGTCTAGTAGCAACGGATGATAATGTAATTCTACACAGTACAACTATTAGAAAGATGACGCTCGAGCGCCTGAAGCGCGGAGACTAGATGAGAAGGTGGAGGGGACAGCGATTTTGAAAGGGTAGATAACGAGACTTTCGAGTTTCTGAAACTATTTGGACCCCACAGATTTTAGAGATTCATATCACCTCTGATGTTTTAGAAAACATCAATTACTACCTCTCTCTTTGTCTATCAAGCGTGCTCAAGAGGTTAAAAAAACATCTTTCCCTAATCGATGCATATTATCAAACGTTTTATTACTTATTTAATATAGTTTACAAGAGTTAGTTTTTATGTTTATCATTCTCTCTTTTTCAAACTTGATTTTTTTTTTTTTCTTGAAAAAAAAAATTGTAATCAGAATACAATACTAATCTAAAGTTCTAACTACCATTATAAATCATGGGATCCCACATGATTGGAACTCAATACACCCAGCAAGCAAAACGTGGGCATAATGAGAACTATACATTCTACCCTCTCTAGTAAAATTTATGACAATTATACATTTTAAAATCAATTCTTTTTAGATATTTGAAATTCAACAAAAATCATCATATTTACTATTGATCCTTGAAGATCTCTTAAGTATTTACTTAAATAATGAAATCTTTTATATTTAAACATAAAGTTTGAAAAACCAAAGTACATGGTTGAATGGCTTTTACGCATTTGCATATGTAGCAGTGCATTGAGAAATATAAACAAATGAAGCATTTGCATTTCCTTTTCATTGAGAATGGCATCCGAGGTTTCTTCCTTTACTATTTTAATAATATATAAAAACAAATACAACCAATAAAAGCACTGTGTTGGTTGACATCATAGATCTAAACATTCACTTAATTTTTTAATTAGCTTTTTTATTCAAATTGAAGCATCATTCACGCCTCTTCATCTGACAATTGTATTGGTTTTGGTGCGGTTTTCAATAAGTTGACCAATTCATTTGGAGAATAAATCGTCCTTATTAATACCTCAATATTGATCTTGAAGAACCATTTCATTAGCCTTACTAAAATCAGGGAGAAAATGGCAAAGGAGTTTTGTCTAACATTGCTGCTAAAATCTTGGGAGTTTTGGGACCTCTGACTGTCCAAGAAATCAGGAACATCAAGTTTTTGACTGTTTTAATCCAAAGGAATGGTGGAGAATATATGATAATAATGGCGAAACAACAGAAATGACAGAACTTCTTTAATTTCCAAGTTAAATATCGAGTATTGTCCCAATCTGACTATCATGCCACTGTTCCCTCTATAGAGGAACTGGTTTTGCGGGAAACCAGCTTGAAGCCACTACAACAGACAATGATGTTGATATCTTCCTCCACCTTCTCTGAAAATTAAAATCTCTGATAATAGAAGACTGTTGCAATCTTGACTCGTTTATTAACAAGTACGAAAAACAATGGGAAGGCCATACCAGCCTATCCTACGTTTCCTGAATTAGCGTCGCTTCCAAAAGGGATTCAACATGTTACCGCTCTGAAGCATCTCCAGATTAATGATTGTCCTTGTTTAATTACTCTTCCAGAAGGGATGCAATTAGAGTACTTAGATATCAGGGATTGTCCGCAACTGTTAGAAAGATGCGAAAACAACATGGATGTTGAATGGCCAAAATTTGCTCATCCCAAATATTTCCATTGATGGCCTGTGAATTCAAAAAGATGGCTGCTACAAAATTAAATTAAGGACGTTCCTTTACTTCAACAGGTTCGTACATATTTTTTTTTTCTCCTCAAGTCTTTCTTATTATTCCTCTTCTTCAATTTCCTAAAAGCCACAAATAGTTTAGTGCTATTTATTAATTTGGTCATTTTGAAGTTGGTGCACAAGAAATTCCTTGGCTTAGTCCCCCCAAGTAGTCTAAATTCAAATCATCAACATACAACTGACAAGCTCCATATCAATTGCCTTTTATTTTGCAGAGATAAGTATTTATTTCAAATGCTTGGTTTGGAGTCTCAATGAAAATGCATGCAAAGCTAGAAGAACGCCCTTCAGTTTTTCCTTCACCTCTGCATCAACCAACTTGCCATTGCTATCGAACTTTGAAGGAGACTGGAACACGTTCAAGAAGAACTCAGGCTTGTTTATGAAGTGAAGATCTACAAAAACCCCTATCTGCCGTAAATGATAATGTGATCGTGCCCCTCCGAAGCCACCGCTGGCGCTTAGGATGGCTGCAGCCTTGTCAGCCCAGCAGTTCGGTGGTCTTGATGCCCAGTCAATTGCATTCTTCAATGGTGCTGGGTGTAATAAATTGAAAGTGTATAAAAAATGTTTAGAAAGCAGAAGTTACAACCAAAACGCAATTACATGGTTGCTACATCATCCACTTTGAAACAAATTAATTCATGCTTTTTACTTAAAAGTTTATATATATAGTATTATTCTATTCTATATATAAATAGTTAGCTTAAATATTCTTTTTAATAGATGACGTTAGATTTTAAAATTTATATAATTTATCATACACACATCATCTATCTTACATATTTTTTTATTCTATATATTATATATTGATGAGGACATTTGTGCATACGATTTTATTATGAATTTGAATGGAACGAGTAAATAATTTGTAATATTGATTTCTTTTCTATTTTAATTTCATGTGTATAGTAAAAAAAAAAAAAAAGATGCTCCATCAAATATTGTCTGAAAAGTATTATTACATATAAGCGAGCGCCTCTTCCAATTAGATTTTCTGTTATTCTATGAAATGCTCAACGTAATTTAGTTACACAGTATAAAATGGATACAAAGTAAATAATATGTTCAATTATCATGTTCCTTTTTTAAAAGTTATAAAAGATATTTAATATAAATATAAAAGACTTTGAGTGGTATACTTTAGGTTATAGTTAAACAATATAATTCAAGCAATATTTATTTTTAATTCCACTGAATTTGATTCTTTGAATATTGTGTACGATTCAAAGAATAGTATGTCATTGGAAGAATGTTGATAATTTATCATTTACCTAATATCACCATATTCTATAAAAGATGTGTCACTAATAAAGAGAACCTTTTAATTTTTTTAATCCTTTTATTTTATTTTAGTCACTTTTGGGATTATGACTAATTCATTTAAGAAAACCACTTCCACATCCCTATCATGTTTACCTGAAAACATCTATGTATCATGCATATGTTACAACATCAGTAATATAACAACAAAAATGGTGTTTGTAAAATATGAAATATTAAAACATTAAATTAATGAATGCTAACATATAGAGATATGATTTACATATATATAGAGATATGATTTACATATATTAGGATTCAAAACAAATATAAATATGAACATTATTTTCATTTATGTAGTTATTCTTTGGTGTGGATATCTCTTAAAGTTTTTAACGTGTAAATATAGTCCTTTTTCTTTGTGTGTGTTCTTATATAAATGAAAATTAAATGTTTTATCATACAAATACAGCTAGTATTAATGCTTATTACCTGTGATGGAGTAATTGTATTCAGGTGAAGCAAAAAGGATGCTATCAGCTTCCAGAATTTTCTTTCTGAAAACCTCAACTACTGGTGGAAACGTTCCGTCAACTTCAAGATCAGTGTTCAGCATCGGCAATGGCGATATGTCTATGTATACTATTTCCATGCCTTTAATTGACTCCTTTGAAATCTCAATTGCTACAGCATCAACAGCCATGTCAAAACAAAGACACAAAGACATTCCATTAATTCACATATAATAATCTGTGAAAGATTAAGAAAACAGTCTATTTCAAGATGCTCCCCCTCATAGTATGATATCTTTAGTTTAGCTCACTGTTCTCTTCAGCATTTTTTATGGTGTTGGTTAAATTTTATTATCGACGATAAATTTTACCAGTCAGAAAGTTTAGTCAACCTCTTTTTTTTTTCTTCATTTTGGGTATCAAAAACTGTAAAAATAAAAAGATGGGTCAAACTTTTTCTTATAAAAAACTATATGAATTAGATTTACCTTTCAGCATCAATTGGAGTTAAGAAACTGGAATTAAGATTTAAAACAATATATATATATCTCGATGTATCTAAGAGGAACGAAATCTAAAATTAAATTCAGAAGGGACAAGTTAAAAAAAGGTATATAAATATTAAAAAAAACCAAATTAAAGAAAATTTTGTTTTGAGTGAGGTCAGCAGCCCCCACTCATTTGTTTGTGGCTCCGTCCCTAGTACCTAATTTTTTTTTGTTATTTTACCATTACCCTATATTATTCTTTTTTTTAAATTTAAAAGGCCTCGTAGTGATCTACAAATGTATATATGTATAAAAGGAGAGAAAAGATTACCGGAATGAATGAGGCTACGGTTGAAGGAGCCTTTGCGAACAGACCCACAAAGAGCTGCAACTTTGATCACTGGTTTGGCTGCTGCAACTGCCTCCATTTCTTAACTCTCTTTCTCTGCTTTCACCGATAGATGTAAGATGATGGTTCCAAGTGGAAGAAAATTATATATAGAGTAAATTGAAAACATTTTCATCAACTTTTTATGCGTGCTTCTTGTTAAAAATATATGAAAACCTGCAACTTGCACGCAGCCCTTAATTAATAATTAATGAACAATTTTCAAATTGAATAAGGGAGTTAAACTTTACTTAACATTATTAAAATGGGCGGCTGGGAGCTCAGCAATTTCTATTACGTATGCGATGAGGTCTTAAGCACCCTTACAAATTAACAAAACAAACTCAGGAACAGGGTTTTGTTCATTTAGTCACCATTTGAAATACTATTTGCTCTATATAATTAAATGTGACAAAAATAAAATTTAGTCACATCATATAGGATTCTCAAATCGAAAAAAACATGGGTTGTTTGGTGTTTAAATGAATGTCGCCTGGAATATATTTGTGTAAGTTATGAGTATTATATACAGGGTAAGGATATTGTAACTTAATTTTTTTAACTTGTTTTTTTTACATTTCTTGTGAACCGTTAATTTGTGTAAGTACAATAATGATGAGATAAATGTTTAAGGTAGTTACATTAATGCAAATTAACTCAACACATCTTGTCAACATTGGATCCATATAGATGAACGGTTCACAAGGAGTACCAAAAAATGAAGTAAAAAATTTAAGTATATATATGCAACTAGAAAACTAATTTGAACAATCATTCTCTGCTTAATAAACTAGTTATTAAGTTTTGAAAACTATTGTAAAATATAATTGCAGAAATACAAAATAATAGGGACTAACAAAATAGATGAAAGATAATGGATTCATGATATAGAGAAAGAATAGAAGGGCTAAGATGATATTTCCTTCTCATTCACTTGTCTTTTAATTTGGTACATCAATTTTTAAAGGGGGGAGGGAGTTTATATACTAATTTCAGCCACCCAACTAACCAATGAAATGTTGCCAAGCTTAAGAACAATTATGCAACACCATCATTTCAATAACTTGACCATAGCCAATGTCTTCTCGTGGTTCAGGTATGCTTCATCCTTTGTCCAATTTCATTTCTTATGACCGTTTGTCTACTAACCATAAAGCTTTCCTTACTACCCTTGACTCTAAGTGGAACCCACAAACTTTTCCCAAGCAATTCAAATTTTAGAATGGCAAGAAGCAATGACCAGAGAAATAAATGCCCTTGAGAAGAATAATACTTAGACTATCACAACTTTACTGCATGGTAAACAAGCCATCGACTGTAAATGAGTATATAAGATAAAGTATTGTTCAAATGAGACTATTGAAAGGTATAAAGCATGTTTGGTTGTTAAAGATTTCACACAAATGGAAGGGGTGGATTACAATAAAACTTTTGCGCGGGTAGCAAAGATGGTACAGTTCGTTGTTTTTTTGCTATAGTTGCTATCAAGAGGTGGTAATGAAGAAGTTTATATGCAAGTGTCTCCAAGTTATTTTTGATAGGGGGAGAAAGAAAATTATGTATATCACCTTAACAAATAAATTTACAAACTTAAACAAGCGAGTCGTAATTGTTTGACAAGCTAAGTCAATCTTTGATTTCTACAGGATATACTCAATCAAAGCAAAATCCACACTTTTCTTCAAAAGGATGTCACATGGCTTTATTTTTGTCATTGTAGCATGTGACTACATGGTTGAAATCGAAGGCTTGAAGAAAATGCTCAATGATATGTTTAGCATAAAAGATCTTGGTTCAACAAAGTATTTCCTTAGCATTGAGGTAGCTCATTAATGACAATGAATCTTTCTTTGTCAAGGAAAATATAGCCTTGATATTCTACACGATATGGGAATGTTAGGTTTCATCCTTCCAAGACTCATGGAAATAAACTGATTGCTTATGTAGACTTTGATTAGGCAGGTTGCCCTCTAACTCGTCGCTCCACAAATGGTTTTTGTATCTTTCTTTAATCTAGCCTTGTTTCATGGAAAACAAAAAGGCAAAGTGTTGTTTTAAGATCCTCTGTTGAAGTAAAGTACCGACTATGGCTTAAGCTACATGTGAGTTACATTGGTTGGAGTCTTTATTGGCTGATTTTGGTTTTAATTCATCCACTCCAAGCATTTTATATTGTGATAATTAGGCCGCTCTTCATATTGCTACTAACCTTGTTTTCCATGAACGGATTAAACACATTGAGTTAGATTACCACTTCATTCGTGGGAAGATAAAAAAAGGATTGATCAAAATAGAACATATTTCCACCTTAAAACAGATTGCAGACATTTTTACGAAGCCTTTGGCTAGTGAGCACTTTGACTGTCTTCTTGGCAAGTTGGGCATGATTGACATACATGCTCCAACTTAAGGGGGAATATCATGGAGCAAAATTGAAGGAGCAATCTATGGAACTTATTGTGTAGACAAATTGAAATTTAAGCAGTTTGTGGATGATAATGGCTCTATGCATATATTGCTCCTGTTTATCTTCATTTTCTTATTTTTCTCCTTATGTGTAACAAAATTTGATTCTTTCTTTTCTTGGACTCTAAGTCTCCGTATATAAATTCTATTGTACATGACACATAATAAAAAAATACGATAAATAGTTAATCTTTTCCTATTTTTCCTTGTTAAGTTTTTATTATTTCATGACAAACAACTTAAAAACTATTTCTTTTTTGCTGATCAATTTTGATTGATTTAAGTTAGGCGCTGATCATGTAATCAGGCTTTTCGATTCCGGAAGTGAAAGTCGTTTGTCCTCTTTTGACTTACATACATAAATTCAGTTTTTGATAAAATAGTATTTTAAATTCGATAGTATACTATTTGTTAGGGCCAAAATCGTCATTGGCCTAAATAGGAAAACGGGCCCGACACTGAAGAAGAAGCTAGGCCCAATCCCGATATGACCCAACCGGATTAGGCCCATTCGGTACAAGATATAGCCGGCCCAAATCACGTGGGCACAAGCCTCCTAATCCCAGTCCATTTCCTAGGTCCATGGGCGAATCCAGAGCCCATGACCCCCTCAGAATACTTTCCTACTCCTGATCAATCTCCCATTCAAAGTCACCTTCCTATTCCTGATCACTTTCCTATTCGGAGTTACTTTCCTGATCAGAATCACTTTCCTATCTGGACATTGGTAAGACAGCTTACCACGACCCTAATTCTTCTAGGGTTTGCATCAGAGTCATGCTAGGACTCCTACTTCTACCATGATTGAGAGACCAGACAGTCACTATATAAGCAGAGGCCAACCCTCTCACAAAGGACATCACATTACACCTTCACACCCGAAGCTCCTACTCAAGAGCTTTACATCACTGTCGTAGTCACAGTCCCCGACTAGACTTCCGGTAATCTCTACTCCCTAGCCCTCACTATATTAGCCTCTCTCAGCCTTGCTGACTTGAGCATTGGAGTGCCTACGGCAAACACTACCTCGGTGTTTCCCGTTCGCTTCACGCGTGTGTTTCTCTACGTGTGCAGGTATAGTAGATCGCTAGTGGCCTCATCCTCACAGGATCAGACCTTCCTTCCGTACAGGTAAATTTTTACATCTACAGTTTGGCGCCTACCGTGGGGCCTCTAACAATCATTCGGCTCGACGAACCTTGCTACGTGGAGGAACATTCCATGGCTGACAACTCCGATAATGCTAATCCCGGCCTCGAGGCCAAACTGGAAGCTCTAACCGCTCTCATGCAATAGAACTTGGACAAGGTGGCTGCATTGGAAGCTGAGAACAATGCGATCCGGACGGAAAACGTGTCCGTCAGGTCAGAAAACCAATCCCTCAAGGAGAAGGTGAGTCAATTCTATGACCTAGAGTTCCTTCCCGGCCAAGTACCCCCTAATCGGTTCCGCGCCCCTATCCCATCCATGCAACCACTCTCCATACCAGAGCATCAGTCCTCGGCCTTCGGTAAAGGGCCGCGTCAGTTAAGAACACTGGCGCTTGACGACTCCGTTTTGACTAATGGAGACAAAGATATGCCAGTAGAATACCATCCAGCCGACCCATCCCAGCCTCGTGACCAAGATAATCCAATAACAGAAAGCCCACATCCACAAGACCAGCCCATCCTCACTGTCCTGCTCCACCTCCAGTCTACAACCCAAACACAAACCCCATTCGGCTCGGCTCAACCTCGCGGGTTGAATGGCCAAACCAAACCAACCCCAACACTCGAGCTCATCCATCCTAACAGACCAAGCGACTACCAATCGACTCCACTGACCATTCATGTAGGGTGGAACAATAGAATAGTGACAATGGGAGTCACCCAACCGGAAGGGATGAACGAAGATCCATGCTACCAAGGAATGCACGACAGAATGATCTATCAGACTACCCCCCGAGGGATGACCCAACAGAATGTGCTGAGAGCGAATGCAGTAGCAGACCCAGTAAGACAGGATGACCCGGTAGTATCCCCCTCTCCTATAGAACAAGTACTGGCCAAGAGACTGGCCGACGTCAAGGCAGTGATGAGATGCATTCCAAGAATGCCGGTCCCAACCAAGAAGAGCAAGCCCCATTGTTACGCGGATTCACCCTTCGTGGACGAGATCGCCCTAGCCGACTTGCCACAGAAGTTCACTATCCCCAACATGAAAATGTACAATGGCACAACCGATCCGGACGATCACATAGCCTCGTATAAGCAACGGATGTTCACCGTCTCGAAACCCCGACCGCTTAGGGAAGCCTGCATGTGCAAAAGTTTCGGTTCGAGCTTATCCGACCCAGCACTACAATGGTGCACGAACCTCCCGAATGGATCCATCGATTCGTTCGCTCAACTCACCGACACGTTTGTGGAACAGTTCGCCAGCAGCAAGAAACTCGAGAAGCTGTCAGCCGACTTGTATAGAGTATACCAGAGAAGGGGCAAGCCATTGAGAGAATATATCAGTAGGTTTAACAGAGAGAAGATTTCCATCCCAGCATGCAACCCTGAGACAACCGTAGATGCCTTCAGGAAGGGTCTCCTCCTGGACGGAGAGCTATACAAAGAACTTACAAAGCTGGGATGTACAGCAATGGAAGACGCCCTGGTCTGGGCAGTGATCCAAATAAGGTGGGAGGAGGATGAGATAAACCGAACGATTCACTCTAGATATGAACCAAGGCGGAGCGATAGGAAGCTAGAGCCTGGACTGATAGACACCGCTACCACCCTCCAACACGTAATATGGGCAGAGTCAGGAAGCCTTATGATCGCCAACCCTCGAGAAATGATAACAGGTAGTTCGGATCGAACCGACCCAGAATACCGGAGTATAACCTTAACGTCGAACTGACCCAGGTCGTAGCAATAATAAAAGGATTAGGATCCACCGTCAAGTGCCCTGGAAAGCTCCATCCCGAGGCAAGGAGAGACACAACCAAGTGGTGCAAGTTTCACAACAACCATGGGCACAACACCGTAGACTGTATTGCCTTACGACTCGAGGTTGCCGCACTTTTGAAAAGGGGACATCTCCGTGATCTGCTTACTGACAAGGGGAAGAACACCATTAGCCAGAAAAGCTCCAAAGAACCGTTACCCCCTCCGTGGAAACCCACACTGAAAGGTTTTTGTTCGCTCATCTTCGGAGGATCAGAGATCAGCGGGGTAAGTTACTCATTGGCCAAGCGGTATGCTAGAGCCAACCACCACCATGAAGTCCAGTCCATCCATCCGATCTCGCGGTCACACTCTCATCAGGTAATTCAGTTTAAAGATGACGAACCAGTCACACTGGCCGCTCTTTATCACGACGCTTTAGTCGTATCCCTGCAGATTGCCAATATCCTAGTGAAAAGGGTGTTCGTAGATGGAGGTTCGTTAGCAAACATCTTGTTCCTCGAAGCAGTAAAAGCAATGGGACTAGAAGAAGCAAACATCAACAGGCGGCTGACACTGCTGGTTGGGTTCAGCTTGGAGCAGAAATACACTATTGGAGAGATAGTCCTTCCCATCTATGCCGGCAGAGTGAACAAACAGACTGTCTTCCTGGTGATCGACTGTCCATCTCCTTACAACGTCATTTTGGGCCGGCCTTGGATCCACGACATGTGGGCAGTCCCATCTACCTTCCACCAGACGATCAGGTTTCCAACTAAGTGGGGGGTACGAGAGATCAAGGGCGACCTCAAAGCTTCCAAAGACTGCTACAAGAACGCATTCAAGAGCAAATGAAACTCTTCATAGCAATTACAATCTCATCCAACCCCTCGGACCGAGCCTGACCAACTGACCATTGAGGAGTTAGATGAAGCGCAGATACATCCGGACGACCCCGAGAGAAAGACACATATAGGTTCCCACCTCGAACCCGAGACAAGGGAGAAGCTGATAGAATTTCTCAAACAAAACGAAGACTGCTTCGCTTGGTCCCACGCCGACATGACCGGAATCAGTCCAGACGCAATAGTCCACCAGCTCAAGGCAGATCTGGATCACCCACCAGTGAAGTAAAGGAAGAGGAAATTCGCACCTAAACAAAATCGGATCGTCAATGAAGAGATTGAAAAGCTCCTGAGCAACGGCATGATCAGAGAGGTCCACTACCCCGAATGGCTAGCAAACATCGTGGTCGTAAAGAAAAAGTATGGGAAGTGGAGAGTCTGCATCGACTTCACTGACTTGAACAAAGCCTGCCCCAAGGATTCTTTCCCACTCCCACATATCGACATGATGGTAGATGCGACCGCAGGGCACGAACTCCTTAGTTTCATGGACGCCTTCTCGAGATATAACCAGATCCTGATACATCCGAATGACCAAGAGAAGACAGCCTTCATCACAGAGAGGGGAACCTACTACTACAAAGTAATGTCGTTCGGACTGAAGAACGCCGGGGCCACTTACCAATGGCTAGTCAACAGGATGTTCTCCAACTACTTAGGAGAGACTATAGATGTTTACATCGATGACATGCTCGTCAAGTCCCTGATAGCCGAACAACACCTTGACCACCTTAGCTAGGCATTCGACGTCCTCCGGAAGTACAACATGAAGCTGAATCTAGCCAAGTGCTCATTCGGCATCTCATCAGGTAAATTCTTGGGCTATATGGTTACTCAGAGAGGGATAGAAGCGAACCCCGACCAGATCAGAGCGATCCTCAACATATCATCCCCTACTTGCATCAGAGATGTCTAACGCCTTGTAGGACGAGTGGTTGCCCTGAGCCGCTTCATTTCCAGATCAGCTGATAAGTGTCACCTATTCTTCCATGCCCTCAAGAAGTCCAAAAAGTTCAACTGGAACCCCTCCTACGAAGAAGCCCTACAATAGCTGAAGAGGTATCTGACCACACCCCCGCTTCTTTCCAAACCTGTGGACAGGGAGAAGCTCTACTCTTACCTAGCGGTCTCAGAGACAACCATCTCAGCAGTGCTAGTTTGGGAAGAAGAATCAAAGCAGTTACCGGTCTACTATGTGAGCAAGTCGCTCCTCGACGCAGAAACTCGGTACATTCAACTGGAGAAACTGGCCCTTGCCCTCATCCATGCATCCAGGAAGCTCAGGCCGTACTTTCAGTGCCACTCCATTGTTGTAATCACCTCCTTCCCGCTCAAGAAGATACTACACAAACCAGAACTATCAGGCCTACTCATGCAATGGACAGTAGAGCTCAGTGAGTTCGACATAGCTTACCAATCCTACACCGCCGTCAAGTCCCAAGCACTAGCAGACTTCATTGCCGACTTTACACCAAGCACCACCACCCAGGTCGAAAGAGAATTACTATGCATGAACGGCGCACCACCCTCAAAGTGGACTCTCCTAGTAGATGGATCGAGTAATGTCAATGGAAGTGGACTCGGAATAGTACTGATCGCACCAGAGGGAGACATCATCCAGCAAGCAATTCGGTGTAGGTTCAAGTGCACGAATAACGAGGCTGAATATGAAGCCCTCATAGCCAGACTTACCTTGGCCAGAGAAATTGGAGCCAAGAAACTGGAAGTAAAGTCCGATTCCCAACTCGTAGTCAATCAACTACAAGGCACGTATCAAGCACTCGATCCAAAGATGACATCTTATTTGAGCATGGTCAAAGAGCTGCAGGCCCAATTCGAAGAGTTCTCCATCGTACAGATCCCCAGAGCTGAGAACTACCATGCTGACGCCCTAGCCAACCTTGGCTCGGCACTCCCACGTTCCTCCCAGTCATCCATCCCTCTCTTATTCATGCAATGGCCAGCCAACTGGAAGGAACAACCACCGAACAGGTCTCCCGTAGAAGCCATGGGCATTGAGCAAGCCGACTGCTGGATGACTCCGGTAGTAAGATACCTGGAAAATGATGAACTCCCGGCTGACAAGAACGAAGCACGCCGATTGAAAGCAAGAGCTGCCAGATTCACCATACATGAGGGCCAACTCCTCGGAAAGTCATTCTCAAGCCCTTATCTCAAATGTGTAAGCCCAGAAGAAGCCCAAAGTGTTCTAGCCGAACTCCATGAAGGCAAATGCGGGAACCACATAGGAGGCCACAGTCTTGCACACCGGGTGATCACTGCTGGATATTACTGGCCGACCATACACACCAATTCGACCGCTTACGTAAAGAAGTGCGACAACTGTCAGAGGTTTGCCCATGTCTCACACCTCCCACCAAAGCGACTCCATTCCATCCTCACATCTTGGCCATTCATGAAGTGGGGAATGGACATCGTGGGAAAGCTACCTACTGCACCAGGGCAACGAGTCTTCATGTTGGCTGTGACAGACTACTTTACCAAGTGGATCGAAGCCGAAGCCTTCGCACAAGTCAGAGATCGAGAGGTAAAAGCCTTCATCTGGAAGAATGTCATCTGTAGGTTCGGAATACCGAAGGAGATTGTCACCGATAATGGATCCCAGTTCATTAGTTCAGGCTTCAGGGATTTCTGTGACATGTGGGGAATAAAGTTGAGCTTCTTAACACCTCGCAACCCCCAGTCTAACGGCCAGGCCAAGTTATCAAAAAAAACCATCATATAGACATTGAAGAAGCGATTGTAGAAAGCTAAGGGCGCATGGGCAGATGAGTTACCCAGAGTCCTCTGGTCATACCGAACCACGGCTCGATCATCAACGGGTGAAACCCGTTCTCCCTCACATACGGTTCTGAAGCAGTCATCCCAGCTGAAGTATCAGTTCTATCCACCAGGCTCCAATGGGTGGACGAGAAATCAAACAGTCACAACCTTTGCTAGAACCTAGACACTATGGACGAGCTACGGGAACGGGCGAGCATCCGTAACGCAGTTTACCAGCAACAGGCCGCCCGACATTATAACCGCAACGTGAGGATCCGTGCTTTCAAGATAGGCGACTGGGTCCTCCGCAGGGTCTTCCAAAACACCAAGGAGATCAACTCTGGCAAACTCGGCCCCACCTGGGAAGGTCCTTACAAGATAATCAAAGCAGCAGGGAAGGGCACCTACAAACTCCAGACCCCCGAGGGCAAAGACATCAACAACAGTTGGAATGCCATCCACCTCAAACGCTACTACTACTAGGTGAACTTTGTTTGTCATTTTTTTTTTTTTTAAAAAGGATGAGTGGGCCTATCCATCTCCTCTTAGACAGTCAGTCTCATGGCCAGAAATTTAATGAAGTATTATTCAGAAGTTTTTTGTCTCCAAACCAACCCCGGTCAATGAATTACTATCACCTTCAGATCAGCCATGCCGATAAACGTACTAACGCCTTCAAATCAGCCCTGCCCGATAAACGTACGTATACCTTCGAATTGACCCTGCTCGATTCACGATGACACCTTCAGATCTGCTATGCCGATAAACGTACTAAGGCCTTCAAATCGGCCCTGCCCGATAAACGTATGTACACCTTCGAATCGACCCTGCTCGATTCACGATGACACCTTCAGATCGGCCATGCTGATAAACGTACTAACGCCTTCAAATCGACCCTGCCCGATAAACGTACGTACACCTTCGAATCGACCATGCTCGATTCACGATGACACCTTCAGATCAGCCCTGCCGATAAACGTACTAACGCCTTCAAATTGGCCTTGCCCGATAAACGTACGTACACCTTCGAATCGACCCTGCTCGATTCACGATGACACCTTCAGATCGGCCATACCGATAAACGTACTAACGCCTTCAAATCGACCCTGTCCGATAAACGTACGTACACCTTCGAATCGACCCTGCTTGATTCACAAGGACACCTTCATATCGGCCTTGCCCGATAAACATATTTACACCGCCGAATCGACCCTGTTCGATTCACAATGACATCCTCCGATTGGCCCTACCTGATTCGCGAGTTGCACCTTAGTATTGGCCCCACACGGTCTACGAAACTCAGCACGACTTATGATCCACACCACCCAGTCGGCCCGATCCGACCCAAGAACTGAACTAAAGTTTAACTTCGTTCATCCAAGGGAATGTACACTCGGTCGACCAGACCGAATGAATGGTCCTTACACCATTGACAAGCGAAGCACTAACCCAGCCCAACATAAGGCTTACATGCCCTAGCCACTGGGCCACTCTAAAGTAACATACACGACGTAGTGCACCTACAAGTAAAGAAACAACAGTTCATTCATCCAAGGAGACAGCATCAGAAGTCAAAATGGTCAAATGTTATATATATAACATCAAACGGCTCAGTTCAGAATACAAAAAATGGCACACACGCCAGACAAAAGGGCATCGTAGGCCCCAAAATACATAAATAAAGAAAAAAGCTAAGGATCCTCAACACGAGCTTCATCCTCCATCGCCGAATCGGTCACCATGTCCGTGCTGCCAGCGCTCGGCCTAGCAGCCTGGCTGCCCGCATCATCAACACCCGATGGCCTCGGCTGGCTAAGGTCAGGCATCTGCTCGTCGTCCTGCCCCCCTGGATGACTACCCCATTCTTCCAGTAACTCCTGCATAAGCAAGATGTCTTCATCTGGATCCCAATGAGAGGTCCATCCTTCCTTGAACTCCAGCATGAGCTCACCTCGGGCCTTAATGATAGCATCATCAGCAATGGAGATGCATTGCTCCCCGAGAGACTCGACCTCTGCGGTTCTCTCAGCCAACTCACGCCTCAGTCTCTCGACCTCATGCTCACTATCCCTCAGACGATGCTGAAACTCTTGCTCCGCCTTTCGGGCTGCCATCTCCTTCTAGCGTAGGCTGCTGTTGGCCTTGGACACATCTTGTATACGTTTC